GGGCTCCCTGCCTGTGCCATTAAACTCCTACAACTCATCCAGAATGCTGCAGCCCGTCTGGTGTTCAACCTTCCCAAGTTCTCTCACGTCACCCCGCTCCTCCGCACACTCCACTGGCTTCCAGTTGAAGCTCGCATCTGCTACAAGACCATGGTGCTTGCCTACGGAGCTGTGAGGGGAACGGCACATCCGTACCTTCAGGCTCTGATCCGACCCTACACCCAAACGAGGGCATTGCGTTCATCCACCTCTGGCCTGCTGGCCCCCATACCTCAGCGGAAGCACAGTTCCCGCTCAGCCCAGTCAAAACTGTTTGCTGCTCTGGCACCCCAATGGTGGAACAAACTCCCTCACGACGCCAGGACAGCGGAGTCACTCACCACCTTCTGGAGACACTTGAAACCCCACCTCTTTAAGGAATACCTGGGATAGGATAAAGTAATCCTTCTACCCCCCCCTACCCCCCCCCCCCCCAAAAAAAAGGTGAATGCACCAATTTATAAGTCGCTTTATAAGTCGCTCTGGATAAGAGCGTCTGCTAAATGACGTAAATGTAATGTAAATGTATGATTACACCCTAGATCAGCTACAGTGGGGAAAAAAAGTATTTAGTCAGCCACCAATTGTGCAAGTTCTCCCACTTAAAAAGATGAGAGAGGCCTGTAATTTTCATCATAGGTACACGTCAACTATGACAGACAAAATTAGGAAAAAAAATCCAGAAAATCACATTGTAGGATTTTTTATGAATTTATTTGCAAATTATGGTGGAAAATAAGTATTTGGTCACCTACAAACAAGCAAGATTTCTGGCTCTCACAGACCTGTAACTTCTTCTTTAAGAGGCTCCTCTGTCCTCCACTCGTTACCTGTATTAATGGCACCTGTTTGAACTTGTTATCAGTATAAAAGACACCTGTCCACAACCTCAAACAGTCACACTCCAAACTCCACTATGGCCAAGACCAAAGAGCTGTCAAAGGACACCAGAAACAAAATTGTAGACCTGCACCAGGCTGGGAAGACTGAATCTGCAATAGGTAAGCAGCTTGGTTTGAAGAAATCAACTGTGGGAGCAATTATTAGGAAATGGAAGACATACAAGACCACTGATAATCTCCCTCGATCTGGGGCTCCACGCAAGATCTCACCCTGTGGGGTCAAAATTATGACAAGAACGGTGAGCAAAAATCCCAGAACCACACGGGGGGACCTAGTGAATGACCTGCAGAGAGCTGGGACCAAAGTAACAAAGCCTACCATCAGTAACACACTACGCTGCCAGGGACTCAAATCCTGCAGTACAGACGTGTCCCCCTGCTTAAGCCAGTACATGTCCAGGCCTGTCTGAAGTTTGCTAGAGTGCAGTTGGATGATCCAGAAGAGGATTGGGAGAATGTCAGATGAAACCAAAATATAACTTTTTGGTCAAAACTCAACTCGTCGTGTTTGGAGGACAAAGAATGCTGAGTTGCATCCAAAGAACACCATACCTACTGTGAAGCATGGGGGTGGAACAATCATGCTTTGGGGCTGTGTTTCTGCAAAGGGACCAGGACGACTGATCCGTGTAAAGGAAAGAATGAATGGGGCCAGGTATCATGAGATTTTGAGTGAAAACCTCCTTCCATCAGCAAGGGCATTGAAGATGAAACGTGGCTGGGTCTTTCAGCATGACAATGATCCCAAACACACCGCCCGGGCAACGAAGGAGTGGCTTCGTAAGAAGCATTTCAAGGTCCTGGAGTGGCCTAGCCAGTCTCCAGATCTCAACCCCATAGAAAATCTTTGGCGGGAGTTGAAAGTCCGTATTGCCCAGCGACAGCCCCAAAACATCACTGCTCTAGAGGAGATCTGCATGGAGGAATGGGCCAAAATACCAGCAACAGTGTGTGAAAACCTTGTGAAGACTTACAGAAAACGTTTGACCTGTGTCATTGCCAACAAAGGGTATATAACAAAGTATTAAGAAACTTTTGTTATTGACCAAATACTTATTTTCCACCATAATTTGCAAATAAATTCATTAAAAATCCTACAATGTGATTTTCTGGATTTTTTTCCCTCATTTTCTCTGTCATAATTGACGTGTACCTATGATGAAAATTACAGGCCTCTCTCATATTTTTAAGTGGGAGAACTTGCACAATTGGTGGCTGACTAAATACTTTTTTTCCCCACTGTAGATACAGGCAAGAGTGTGCAAGGCGGTATTGAATGTGTCACTATCTGTCCATGTGTCACTGTCTGTCGTCTCATTTTTCTCTCGACCTGTTTGCACCTACGTTGTAAACTTTAATTCAAAGGCTAGGTTGTAGCAAACTCATGATGGGTCTAGGGAAAATGTGACTATCATGTAGTAGCCTAAACCTATCGCTGTTACATTGAACTGGGTGAATGGAATATGAATGACTGTCATCCAATATGCTGTAATAGAAATAAGGCCATGCTCATGAAAATAAAAATTGTCCACCCTCATCTTAAACACCACCAATCGCCACTGATATCTACGTATCTAATATCTATGTAACTGAAGTGATTTGGTAAAATGTAAAGCATTGGAAAGTAAGTTACTTCCTTCAGAAATTACTTGAGTAAGAGTACAAATACAGCCCACACAGAGTAAGTAGAAAAGTACTAGTTCCTCCAAAAATTCAAATGGCAGTAGGCTGGGTTCAAACCCTTGACAACTCTGGTATATGTGTGACGGGGTCAGCAGCTGTAACCACTGGACTACACAGGCACTGAGGTAGCTGCTAATTTATTCAGCCTATTGGTTGCCTTGAACATATAATAAAACAATTGATAAAAAAACGTACAGCCCTAACGACAAATATGTAACTGTATTAACAATTTATAAGAATTCACAAGATGCGCCATAGCCTGCACGTAGCCTACATAGAGCCCCTCAGTGTAGGTGTCATAATACCCATAAAACCTAGCAGTCAAACAGGAAAATGGTTCCAATAGTTTTTACACCATTCATTTTAGAAACAATTAAAATAAGGGCTGTGTTTCATGTAGGCTTACCCTGGCGTGACGTTATGATAACCACATAAATCTATCTTGGACAAGGTGACTTTTATCAATATATTCGTCTCTATTTACTCTCGGGTTCGAAAATGCTAATTAGCATCAAAGACTACATCATGCATGACTACATGCAAGCCCTGTGTAGCTCAGTTGGTCGAGCATGGCGCTTGCAACGCCAGGCTTGTGGGTACGTTTCCCACGGGGGGCCAGTATGAAAATGTATGCACTCACTAACTGCAAGTCGCTCTGGATAAGAGTATCTGATAAATGACTAAAATGTAAAAAATCTACAAATCCCTGCAAGCTCCTGCACTCCATCTCTAGCTGACAACTTTGCTAACAGGTATTGTGTCAATTTAAAACTTGCACAAGACAGTTCACAGAATTGTTCATTAAAGAAATGTTGCCAATTTATTCTTTCCTTTGCCTCGATTCGGCAGTCTTGTCCAGATCATGGCATTTGTAGTTCATTATGATAGCCACATTAGCAGCTAATTAGCATTTCATTTTCTGGGGGTAAATACAGGTGGTCACAATCTCACCTGTTGACTGTGGAGGCGGAGCTTAATTGTTCCATTTACATCATTTACATTTTAGTCATTTAGCAGACGCTCTTATCCAGAGCGACTTACAGTCGTGAGTGCATATCCCTTTAAGAGTCTATCCCTTTAAGAACAGAACCCCCTGTCCAGGCTGATTGCTGCTCCTATCAACTACCCTGCTCATGTTCTCTAACATTATGGAAGGACTTTCTTATTTTCCTATTAGACTTCCCATTAACCGCCAACTGACGAGGTAATGGCACTGTTTCCACTGGTTCACAGCTATTCTGATGAGGTTGAATAGAGAAAAGTTGAATACATTGGCATTTATACAGCAAATAGCATAGTCACTATGAGTGGTACTTTCTATTATTTTAGCAAAGTTGATGAAAACAAAATAAAACTTAGCAAAAACCATCAAATCATTATGAAAGCAGGCAGAGTGGTAGGCTATGCCGATCTTCTAGAGGGTTTAGTGACCCCTAGTGGAACTTATTTCACAGCTACTGTCAGTTCCATACTGTGAATGTTTTGACACCCACCGAGTTACAAATCTCACCGAACATGATTTATAGAGAATATTTCTTTATTATAACATTCATTATGACAGCAATACTGAGAGAGGACATCTTGAGAGAAACTACTGGTATGATGGCACCACAATATATCATATGCTTAGGGTATTTACATGGTATGTCATTGGTGAAACATCTAATAGTTTGCTAATTTCTACTATGGACCACACTGAGTTGATGAAATATACATGAGAACACTGTGGTTGAATGTAGTCTTTTTATAAAATGTTTTCTTGCACCTACATACATAAAGGCTAAAACAATGATTTGTCTATATCTACCTGTATTGTAGTGTTTTAACAATCAATATTGACAGTGACATTGAAATCACATGGATTTACATGTTGCATACAATATGCAACCTTGTTATTACTTAAAACAGGACAATAACTACATAGCACACCTGAATGAACTTGGCCAGTGTTCTGGCCTTTCTGCCATACTGTGTGGTATTCTAATTGTCAGAGTCCCAAACCCAATGGCACACTGATTGGCTTTGTTTTGGCTATGTTCCATAATGGCTGGTACTGTGCTTTGACTGGCTGTGTCCTATTCAGGACGGTACTTTCATTGGCTATGCTTCATAACCCCATATTGGCTGTGATTGGCTGCAACTGGTAATTAGAGTGGCTGTGTGTACCGTACTGTGAGGTACTCATGGCATAACACAATATGAGTAACAGTGTCTCCTCACAGGGAGTTTTAGGTCCCTCTGTGTATCTTCTTTACTGTGTGGCGCTGTGGTCCTTTAAGACATACAGTACTGCCAGTGGCTCTGGAGAAAGAGGGCTGAGCATCACCTGTGATGTCATAGAGTGGGTGTGTCTGACCTGCTGTGGGGCATTCCTGGCTAGGAGGAGGAGGAGGAGTCCTCCACCACAGGGTGCAGGGCGTGCCTCTTCAGGAGTGTCTGCAGTATCTCTACCTCGCGCTGCGTCTCCCTCAGCTTCTTACGCAGCATCTCGTTGTTCTTCTGAAGCTTCTGGTTCTCCTGAGAACAACATCATTCACCATTGTTGTTTATGTTTTGGAATGGTTAACCTAGCGTTCAAAACTCTAGAAATTAGAATGTAGTACATACAATGTACACAATTGAACACATATCAGTAACCCAGAGGTAGTTGTGTCTGAATCTCACAGTTTCCAGAGCATCATAGTTGGGTTTGATGTCTTCGTCTGGCTCCCTGGGCTTTAGCACTGTAGAGGTTCTATTCTCCCACTTGGCGTAGGCCCGTTGTTTGCGTTGGGGCACCGGACTGGGGCATGGGGTGAGGGAGGGGGGTACGGGGGCCAAGAGAGAGGAGGGTACAGGGGCCAGGAGAGAGGGCTGTACTGGCTGTAGCCGACTGGGCTCTGGAGGGGGGGCAGGGGCGGGGGGACCCTCTGTCTGGGTGCTGCAGTGGACCCCCACAGACATGGTCAGCCCAGGGGGGAGCCTCAGATGGGAGGGGGCCGGAGAGTCAGGGCTCCAGTCCCTACATTCCTCTGAGGGGTATGGGAAAGGCCCCTCTTCTGAGCCTAGCACAAACAACACCATAAAGATAGTCAGTCAACTCTGATCTGTTCAACCCATTTCAATCAGTTCTCTGGTTTTGAAGTGATATGTTTGCGAACAGTCTGAATCTCATAAGGTTAAGAAAAAGTCAACTGAGTGTTTGTCTGACCACAGAAAGCACATCCATTGTTACAGAAAGTGAGGCAGGTCCTTGACTTTAGAGAGCAGTATGACAGTCCACCTACATAGGGAAACAACCCAGGATGCTGTGCTACTTTTCCATAAACTAGATTAAACCTGTGCTCTCACCTGCAAAGACATACCTTTCAAATAATGATTTGGGACTTTATATTTCCTGTGTATTTGCAATATATGTGACTCCTGTCAATAATGGTTACCACATGGAATGGTACAGTTTAGGACTATCCAAGACAGGTTTTACTTTGCATACCTGTAGTAAGCACAAGTAGAGTGATATATTACTTTTAGACCAGCAGATGGCAACCTTCTGCTGCCTTAGATTTCTAGCACTAGATTTCTAGCACAACCACAAGTCACAACTCTGGTTGGTTACTGCTACACTACATGTGGTTATCACTATTTTGGTAAATAGTTTATTGAGGATGCGTGTATGTACGTGTGTATGTGTGATAAAAAATATATGTTGCTTATATTTGTGCTATTTCACACATTAATTCGGTGTGAATTGGAAATGTGTTTTTTGCATATCCCAACTCAACCTGAAACACCCTCGGAGAGTGAGATCACGGTCCACGCATATTTACTATGTGTGTATGTATGTATGTATGTATGTATGTATGTATGTATGTGTGTGTCCCTCCTCACCTTCCGGCTCACCTGTAGTGCCAGGTGTGGAGCCTGGTGTTAGTGGACCTTCAGAGGTGCTGCTGCCTTTGGCATTCTTCTTACACTCAAACGCCACCTGATCCTTACACAGCCTATGGCAGTTCATCCCACAGTCTGTGAGCAGGCCAAGAGAATGCAGACAACATGTTAGAGCAGGCAGAAGTGGAAAGGAGGTTGTTTAAAATGGATTATTGTATGGTCATGTTGGGTTGCACAGAGATTGCATGTTTTTGTTTTGTTGTCAAAAGTACCCTACTAGATAATGTAACTTCCATTCCCCTCAGTAGCCTAATGGTGCAGCTCAGCCTGTGGAACAGAACAGTTCTCAGACCTTTGCGTGCATGTTGCCATGACTATTTCAAGGGGAAGAGAGTAAAAAGCTGTTTTGTGGTTGCGACTGCAGAGTCTACAGTCTTTCATGTGCTGCAGGGTTCAGCTAGCAGTCTGCATGATAGAAACCACACAATGCACCTTCTTTTCAAGATAGCTACACATTACCTGCTCCTCGCAGTCTCTCCATTATCAACAACCTCTGCTAACATTGTATTCTATCAACAATACAAAGTACTGAACTGTAAGCTACATGCAGAATGACATTTATGCAAACATTATGGAATATTCCAGTCTAGACCCAGCGACAATAAAAATAAATAATCACCTCTGCATCTGTAGCCTTGTTTTATGACGCCCCACAACTGTTATGGAGAAGAGGAATTTGATAAGGTTGTTTAGAGATAACACATGCATATTACAATGCATATTTAAGAATGAGGAATGTGCATGTTTAAATAGTCATTTAAAGCCGTAACAGCATTGCTATTGTTGATGAGTACGCTATAACTAAGGCCCAGAGTTGTTCCTGATCAGGCCACAAGTTCAGGAAAAACTCCTGGCCAGACTAATGAGACCTACAGCTAAGCTAAGGACAGATCAGGACATAGTGCTGTAATGTACTGTTGTGACTTACGAATCCGGAGCAGTTGTCACAGAAGGTGGGCTTCATGTAGGTGGTCTCCTGAAAGTTGTGGACAAAGCCAAGACCCAGCTTGGAGCAGATGACACTAGCACGCATGAAATAGGCTGTGATCTCCTCTCTGCTGATGAGGCCTTCCCTGGAGCAGGACAACACAAAGCATATCTCATGTAAACACAAAGCATATCTCATGTAAACACAAAGCATATCTCATGTAAACACACTGTCTCATAAGAAATGTTATGTTTGCAATGTACTGTATGGACATTGGGCACCATTTCAGACTTCTATATGTCACATTGAAACAAGAGGCACCAAAACTAGCAGGTTTTGGTTTCATAATTTCACTTCAACAGTTTCACTCCACTAGATAACTGGTTAAGAAGTTTGTGATTTAACCTCAGTTGACCACAGTGAGAGTTGACTATGAGGAGACATGGCTGAGACTAGCTAGCTATCTGATAGTTATGTTGCTATTTCTGTTTCCTGTAGCTACAGGCCCATATTACACTTTAGTTTCCTTTCTCTGCAGTCAAAAATAAACCAATGCAGTTAGTGTGAACTGTCAAATGTGCCAAACGAGAGCCCATGCAGCCTAAACGGAACCATACACTTACTTCTCTTTGTCCATGACGCAGAAGGAGAATGGAAAGCTAGCAGCGATTTTCTCAAAGTCTCCTTGAGAGATGAAGCCATTCTCATCATGGTCATAATTTTTAAACACGGACTGTTGAGGACAAGAGACACAAGACATCGTAATGAGATACATGAAGCATAATAGATGAACTGGAATGAGTTCTGTTCAGTTTGATCTGGTGGAATTAAAACTACAACTTCCAGATAAATAATGTATGTAGTATACAATAATATAAATAACATAAGTCATGACATAACAATATTTAAAAAATGATTACTGCTTTTATGAAACAGAATACAATGCTTATGACAATACATAGGGATGGAACACGGACAACTCACATCCACCATTCTTTGCACATGTTTGCTGATGGTTTTGGGGTCAGGTTTTGGGGCCACTCCTGATGCCCACTCCACAACCACTGGAGGTCTAGAGGGGGTGGCTGGCTGATGTAAAACAAAACAGATGATCAGAACATTGTCAGCAGATGTAATTTAGAATAGGCCGTGCTGATGTTAAATGGGCCAATTAAAAAAGAGCTCCAGTCCTCATTCTCTTTCAATAGGTTTGTTAATGAGATCTGCAGCATCAGACATGATTCACTGGAGCTAACTGGGTTTTTGTTAGTATTATTAAACATGTTTGAAATTGAATATACCCCTAGCCATAACACAGTGAACTTGCTATGGCTAGGGGTATTTCTATTTCAATCATTATGCGAACAGATTCATTTCCACAGTGTTTTTCATGTCCCCTTTTTACTCACGGGTGCTTTGCTGTTCTTGGCTTCCCTGGTGTAAGAGAGCTCATATATCTCATCATCTGTGTAGTAGAGGTCTAGGGACAGCTGATCAGTAGAGGACAACAGGGTCAGAGACCAGGGTCATTTACCAACAGACACAGTAGTGTGAATTATTGTGTACTCAGGTGTGTACTAACCGTGAGAAGGTGGACCAGGTCTTTGTTGGCGTCGAGCTGTGGGGTAATCTGCTGTAGCTGGATCAGCTCGTTGATGTGGTTATACAGAGCCTGGAGCTTCTGAACATTCACCTTGTTGTCCTCTACGTAGTCCGACATGGCCTCGTTGACTGAGATCAGGTCCTTGAGGTGGACCCCCAGGATGGGGATCTTAAAGCCTGCACACCTGCTGTATGTCTGACGGTAGTTGTCATAGTTCCTACAGGAGGACAGGAGGTCTGTCATCTCATTCAGCACCTGTGGAGAGAAGAGATAGTGGAAAATATATTGTAGATTATTACCTTGTACAGTATCCATATCCATATTTTAGACATACTGTTTGTCAACATACTGATCAATAGATCATGTTATGATAATGTTATAGATAATGTACCTTGGTGACCTCGTGGGACACATGCGAACTGGTCTCTTTAAGTCTGGAGATGGAGCTGTGGCACAGGCCCCCCACCACAGCCATTAGTGTGTTAAAGTTGTGCATAAGATGGAGGCTCTGGGAAACACAAACACAGACAAACATAAACAATCTAATTGAACCTTAATCAGAGTCAACCCAAAGCATTCTCCACAAGTAGCACTCCAATGTTGGTTGCATAAGGAACTCATAATACTGTCACAATACTGTTGCTTACACTCTTAGAGAATACAATTGTGCTAATCTGGCTAAATGTTTCACCAATTTTCTCAGTTCCCTTATTGATGCGATGGCCCTGCTGTGGGACACTGGAACCCATTGGTGTGGAATGCATTGAGTTAGAGTTAGAGGAGCAGCAGCTGACTATTGCATTAATTTAAGCCAGAGAGATTCTCCAGAGTTCTGCCTCTCCATCCAACTCTCTCAGCTCCTCATCACTCTTCAGGACACAGCTTTGCATGTGAATGAAGTGATGAAGAGGCATAGTAAACCAGACTTGATCAAGTAGAGTCACTAGTTATTTTTTTCCATGGTGTACACATATATATATATATATATTTATTTATTTTTACTATTTTTACATTGTAATATAATAGTGAAGCCATCAAAACTATGAAATAACATCTAAGGAATCATGTAGTAACCAAAAAAGTGTTAAACAAATCAAAATATAATTTATATTGGAGATTTTTCAAATAGCCACCCTTTGCCTTGATGACAGCTTTGCACACTCTTGGCAAATAGGCCTTACACAGCCTGGAGGTGTGTTTTGGGTCATTGTCCTGTTGAAAAACAAATGATAGTCCCACTAAGCGCAAACCAGATGGGATGGCGTATCGCTGCAGAATGCTGTGGTAGCTATGCTGGTTAAGTGTGCCTTGAATTCTAAATAAATCACAGACAGTGTCATCAGCAAAGCACCCCCACACCATCACACCTCCGTGCTTCACGGTGGGAACCACACATGTGGAGATAATCCATTCACCTACTCTGCGTCTCACAAAGACACGGCAGTTAGAACCAAAAATCTCAAATTTGGACTCATCAGACCAAAGAACAGATTTCTACCGGTCTAATCTCCATTGCTCGTGTTTCTTGGCCCAAGCAAGTCTCTTCTTCTTATTGGTGTCCTTTAGTAGTGGTTTCTTTGCAGCAATTCGACCATGAAGGCCTGATTCATGCAGTCTCCTCTGAACAGTTGATGTTGAGATGTGTCTTTTACTTGAAGTCTGTGAAGCATGTATTTGGACTGCAATCTCAGGTGCAGTTAACTCTAATGAACTTGTCCTCTGCAGCAGAGGTAACTCTGGGTGGCGGTCCTCATGAGAGCCAATTTCATCATAGCGCTTGATGTTTTTTTTGACTGCACTTGAAGAAACTTTCAAAGTTCTTGAAATTTTCCGTATTGACTGACCTTCAGGTCTTAAAGTAATGATGGACTGTCGTTTCTCTTTGCTTATTTGAGCTGTTCTTGCCATAATATGGACTTTTACCAAATAGGGCTATTTTCTGTATACCACCCCTACCTTGTCACAACACAACTGATTGGCACAAACGCATTAAGAAGGAAAGAAATTCCACAAATTAAGTTAACAAGGCACACCTGTTAATTGAAAAGCATTCCAGGTGACTACCTCATGAAGCTGGTTGAGAGAATTCCAAGAGTGTGCAAAGGTGTCATCAAGGCAAAGGGTGGCTACTTTGAAGAATCTCAAATATAACATATATTTTGATTTGTTTAACACTTTTTTGGTTACTACATGATTCCATATGTGTTATTTCATAGTTTTGATGTCTTCACTATTATTTTACAATGTAAAAGATATCAAAAATAAAGAAAAACCCTTGAATGAGTAGGTGTGTCCAAACTTTCGACTGGTAGTGAATATATATTAGCATGTGTAAGTACAATTTCATCACAATACATAATACAATTAATTAAATAATACACATTTTTCATTCCCCCCCTCCCCATGTGTTGCATACACACTTGCATATACAGTACCAAAAAAGGTACAGCAACGCATACAAATCAGACAAACAAAAAACTAAACCATCAACAAAAACAACAAAAAAAATTATAATAATAAACATGTCACTCAGTATTTATTAGCTCATATTGCCATGAATTGGATGTGGGAATGCCAGATGTTTTGTAAATGATGTGGTCTGCCTTTGAATTTATAGAAAATATTGTCCAAAGAGATGTAGCTAGATATCTCATTTAGCCAGTGTGTTAAAGTAGGGGGACTATCTGATTTCTAGCGTAATGTTATTTTTAAAAAATTGCTGTGAGCACTTACAGATCAATCAACTGCTCAAAAAAATAAATGGAACACTTAAACACCACATCCTAGATCTGAATGAATAAAAATAATCTTATTAAATACTTTTTTCTTTACATAGTTGAATGTGCTGACAACAAAATCACACAAAAATTATCAATGGAAATCAAATTTATCAACCCATGGAGGTCTGGATTTGGAGTCACCCTCAAAATTAAAGTGGAAAACCACACTACAGGCTGATCCAACTTTGATGTAATGTCCTTAAAACAAGTCAAAATGAGGCTCAGTAGTGTGTGTGGCCTCCACATGCCTGTATGACCTCCCTACAACGCCTGGGCATGCTCCTGATGAGATGGCGGATGGTCTCCTGAGGGATCTCCTCCCAGACCTGGACTAAAGCATCCGCCAACTCCTGGACAGTCTGTGGTGCAACGTGGCGTTGGTGGATGGAGCGAGACATGATGTCCCAGATGTGCTCAATTGGATTCAGGTCTGGGGAACGGGCGGGCCAGTCCATAGCATCAATGCCTTCCTCTTGCAGGAACTGCTGACACTCCAGCCACATGAGGTCTAGCATTGTCTTGCATTAGGAGGAACCCAGGGCCAACCGCACCAGCATATGGTCTCACAAGGGGTCTGAGGATCTCATCTCGGTACCTAATGGCAGTCAGGCTACCTCTGGCGAGCACATGGAGGGCTGTGCGGCCCCCCAAAGAAATGCCACCCCACACCATGGCTGACCCACCGCCAAACCGGTCATGCTGGAGGATGTTGCAGGCAGCAGAACGTTCTCCACGGCGTCTCCAGACTCTCACGTCTGTCACATGTGCTCAGTGTGAACCTGCTTTCATCTGTGAAGAGCACAGGGCGCCAGTGGCGAATTTGCCAATCTTGGTGTTCTCTGGCAAATGCCAAACGTCCTGCACGGTGTTGGGCTGTAAGCAAAACCCCCACCTGTGGACGTCGGGCCCTCATACCACCCTCATGGAGTCTGTTTCTGACCATTTGAGCAGACACATGCACATTTGTGGCCTGCTGGAGGTCATTTTGCAGGGCTCTGGCAGTGCTCCTCCTGCTCCTCCTTGCACAAAGGCGGAGGTAGCGGTCCTGCTGCTGGGTTGTTGCCCTCCTACGGCCTCCTCCACATCTCCTGATGTACTGGCCTGTCTCCTGGTAGCGCCTCCATGCTCTGGACACTACGCTGACAGACACAGCAAACCTTCTTGCCACAGCTCGCATTGATGTGCCATCCTGGATGAGCTGCACTACCTGAGCCACTTGTGTGGGTTGTAGACTCCGTCTCATGCTACCACTAGAGTGAAAGCACCGCCAGCATTCAAAAGTGACCAAAACATCAGCATAGGAACTGAGAAGTGGTCTGTGGTCACCACCTGCAAAACCAGTCCTTTATTGGGGGTGTCTTGCTAATTGCCTATAATTTCCACCTGTTGTCTATTCCATTTGCACAACAGCATGTGACATTTATTGTCAATCAGTGTTGCTTCCTAAGTGGACAGTTTGATTTCACAGAAGTGTGATTGACTTGGAGTTACATTGTGTTGTTTAAGTGTTCCCTTTATTTTTTTGAGCAGTGTATATTTTTATGATTATTGTTCCATGGATCTAGTTCACTAGTCCCAAACAGACACAAGCTAGGTGTGAGAGGGACTGACATCTATAAACATTCTGAAATTGTGTTTACTGATTCCCAAAACATTCAAATAAGATTGCATGTCCAAAACATGTGATAAAAAGTACCCTTTTGCCTATTACAGTGCACGTTTTTCTGGTGTATAATAAATTAGGTGAACGGTTGTAAACTGAGAGTGTTTGTGTCTGAGGTTGTAGGAAAATGTGTGTGCTTTCAAACATAAGATCATTCTTCTCTGCTTATTTCAACCTGTAAATATTGTTCCCATTTCAGTCTAGTAACATCTGTGCGTACTAGCATATGATCTAACAACAATTTATAACCCTTAAGTAAATTCAGACCACCCGCCTTATATGGAAGACCTGCAGACGAATTCTGGGTGATTCGTTATTCCAAATAAAATGAGGAAAAGAGGCTCTGCATGTTTTGTTTTTTAAATGCAGAGGGGGTGAAATTGGAAGATTCTGAAACAAATAAAGACATTTTGGAAATATTGACATTTTGATGACATTAACGCTGCCCATAAGATAAATAGGAAGGAAGTCCATTCTTTTGAAGTTATTGGTAACCTTTTCAATAACTGGAATGTAGTTCAAAATTCCTAAGTACTTAATATTCGTCAAGGACCATTTCCATTGGAATTGGTCTTGTAAAAGTTTGGGTTTGAAGGTAGATATAATAATCTCTGTCTTGGCTCAATTGACTTTGCAACCAGATAGTTTACCAAACTCTTCAAGCAATGACAGGAGGACCGGAATTGAGTATGAGTGGTCTTAGAGATAGAGCAAGACATCATCCGCATACAATGATATAACATGGTATTATTTTCCAATTGTAGTTCCTTCAATTTGGTCATGTGCTCTAATCATGGTGTCAATGGGTTATATGACCAAAGCAAAAAAATCATGCACTGGCTGGACAGCCTTGCCTTGTCCCTCGAGACAACGGGAAGGGGGTTGAGTATTGGGTTTTGGTTTTAACTACTGCCATTGGTGAATTATAAAGAATTTGAATCCAAGAGATAAATATTGGACCAAAATTAAACCTTGATAATACAGACATAAGGTCCTTCCATTCCACTCTGTCAAATGCTTTTTCAGCACCAAGGGACACTACAACATTTGGGGTCTTAAGATCATTAGTATGAAAAAGAATGTCAAAATATCTACGTAAATTATCAGAGGAGAGACAACCCTGCACAAAACCAGTTTGGTCTGTGTGGATGAGATTGGGCACAGACTCTAGGCGTAGAGTTAATATTTAGCAATCAACTGATAATCAACATTTAAAAGTGACACTGGTCTATGGGAGGAGCACAACGTGGGATCTTTATCTTTATTTTTCAGTAAAGTAATAGCTGCAAGACGTAAAGTATGAGGAAGCTGTTTTTTCTCCAGACAGGCCTTGATCATACGGAGAAAAAGAGGCATCAACCGCTCAAATAATAGCCTGTAAAATTCTATAGGAAACCCATCTAATCCCGGTACCTTTCCATTTTGGAGGGAACCAATAGCATCTGATAGCTCCTCAGTAGTAGCACTTCAGTGTCAGTGTTCCATCTGATAAATCCATTAGTGCTGATGGCCTGTACTTTGTTAATATTCAGAGCACACGTTCACTGTTAGCCAGCATCTTTGATGCACTAAAAGCCCATCATGGAGCTCTTGAGAGTCATTAGCAGCCCTCTTTTAATATGCATTATGTAACTACAAATGATGGTGCTTCTGCTGTACGGTAGTAGGTAGGTCTCACTGTACTGTACGATATGGTAGACGATATGGTAGACGATATGGTAGACGATATGGTAGACGATATGGTAGACATGCATTTGCTTAATATGAGGAAAAGGTACCAGATATAGACAATGAACAAACACAATTTAAGAGGGTACAAAACATGGGGGCTAAACACCTTGTATGTGAACATTTTGTTATTTTCTACACATATACTGTAGTGTTAGTCTACGGGGGTTCTGGAGGAGAATGAGGAATAGTTAGGGCCATACCTGAGCCACATGGATGAACTTGGTGAAGACCTCTGCTCTCAGCTGAGCTGTAGGCCGACTCAGAACCATGAGCTGCACCCACTGGGAGATACCATTACACAACGTAATGGAACGTTCCATCATGGGGTTGTCCTTCATGCAGCAGCTGCGGATGTAGTTCTGGTAGTCTGCAAACTGGAAAAAATAATAAAGCATATGCTGACTCATTTTGCTAAAAGGACAGAGGTTTCGCAGAACACATTTGGAATGCATTGAAATACCTACAGTAGAGCGCATGTGCTATGACATTCTTCAGAATGTCATAGTGTTTATAGCGATCACATACAGGCGGATTGGGGCTCTACTCACTGATATTCTACAGAAGGACTTGAACTCCAGGTAGGTGAGGTGCTCAGCCAGCTCAATGGGCTCCAGGTGATCAAACAGCAGAGACACTTTCCTCTTCTTACTGCTGTTAGCCTTGATCCTCTGACTGGGCTTCTGAGACCAGTGCCTGTCATTTCTGGGACACAACATGGTGAACAACACAGACCGGAAATACACAGGTATTACACAGGCATAATTTGAAACCATTACTTCAGCATACCTGTAAAGCCATTTTCAGGTAAGTCTAGATGCTTCCCTCAAGAAATACATTAATTCTGTTCAATAATATACCGGGAATACTTACATCCATTTAGTCTGCAAGAGAGGGCACAGCCTCTCTTGGCCCTGATCCCTGATCAGATCCTGGAACTGCTCCATGGAGTCTGACAGGCTGCTGTGTAACCGGAACATCGTCCAGAACTCCTGGATCCAATACCTGAAAGATAAGGACAATAAGACTGTGTTTACCACAATTAAATACTATACCCCTCGATATTCAAGTCATAAGAAGGAATTCCACTCGACCACGCCCACAGATTGTGGAAAACAAACATTCTTTCTCAATGACCCCCATTGTAAAAGAGCCAACTTCGTTGTCAATTTTGTGTCATACATAAATAACAAAATATACCGAAATGCTGCTGTGTTGTTCAATGTAACCAGGTCAAAAATCCTGACCTACGATTTGCAATGCTCCCACGTAGGGAAATAGAGCATGCGAGAAGAGCCCTGTGGCTTCAGGCTATTCGGTGTGGGAGAGTGGGAAATTGTGGGGACCGGTTTCTAAGTAGGGTACACATAGCTAAGTGTGTGGAAAACATTTCATCAACAGGTAAGACTTTTAACTTTTTTTGTATAGTCCGTTAGTAATTCCACCCACTACCTGTAGCTGTATCGTCTGTTTGTTTGTGTTGTTGGTCTTGGCTAGCTTAATGTTCCGGTTGGTAGCTACTGTAACTAGCACTCACTCACTCATGTGGCTGCTAGCACTGTCATGAAAAGGGGCATGAGGGAAGCCCTACAATATTACATTTGTCTAAGTAGTGAGAACACCTCCCGAGTGGCGCAGTGGTCTAAGGCACTGCATCGTAGCCGGCTGCGACCGGGAGACCCATGGGGCGGCGCACAATTCGTCCAGGGTAGGGGAGGGAATGTCCGGCAGGGATGTAGCTCAGTTTGCAACGCCAAGGTTGTGGGTTCGATTCCCATGAAGAAAAAAAATAATAATGTATGCACTCACTAACTGTAAGTCGCTCTGGATAAGAGCGTCTGCTAAATGACTAAAATGTAAAATAAAATGTAGAACGCTAGGGAGAAGGCAATGTTGAAAAGTAATCTTTAGACATGTTTTACTTTTCTTAAATGTAGTTTTGTAATTGATTAAACAAGCAGATGACAAGGAAATTGCATTTTGAAAAAGGTCAAGTTTTTGCTGGGAGCCAATGGGGTAACCTAGGTAACTGCAGGTTGTTTTCCCCCCAAGGCGGGCGGGGCCGCAACATTCTATCTAATACCGACTGGGAGTATACTTCAAACTCTAAACCCTAGTTGTTTATTGTCTAATAAGAAATCAACGCTATAGGCTGTTGCAAATGCACTAATAGCATGGCCTAAACCATCTACCCAGTTATAGAATATTGTATTATTAGGTGTTATGTGGATTTCATAAGCCCTTTAATGTCCTTTCATAAGAATGATTGAACAGTGAGTTATTGTGTGGAGGCCTTAGTGGACCCCAGCAGGCCCAGTGGTAGTGGCAGGATTAGGATGACTGCATGGGGAACACACACTTACCTGATGAAGTAACAGATCCTCTCACACTCTGTGGACTGCTTATTCTCCAGGGCTCTTTTAAATGTAACACCTCAAGTTAAGGATACATTATGATTCACTGGTATAGTAAAACATGTCCACACTGTTTAGAGTCAGGGAAGAGACCAGGAACTGTATGTGGGATTTATCAGTGAATAAACGATCTGGATCACTGTGCAGGACAAAGTGTCTATTCAAATGTCTATTCATCTAAGTAAACAATTACAAGCTGGTGTTTAATGTATTTAGTGCAGGAAACTCATCAATAGGGAAACTAAAAGGCGAACAGATGTGACATTTGGTGGTGTGGGAGGAGGCAACCACAAAAAAGAAAACTGGTTAGGAGCATCAGCAAGTGAATCATTCTGGTGTTGTGTGGTTCCAATGGTTCAGTTGGTTGAAGCATGTTGTTTACAGGGCTATGGGTTAGATTCCTTTGTTGCTTTGGATAAAAGTGTCTGTTAAACGTGCACAACAGACAATCACTATTCCTGTAGAAGATGTGCTGGCAGAGGACCCTTTTAGTGAGTAAAAACATGTTCTCACAACCAGGTAAAAACAAAGCTGACATAATGTTACTTTTACATCTCAATGGCTGTGAGTGTGAGGACAGTTTATTACCTAAGCTGCTGTGCCATATGCTCGGTAGGTACAGAGTGACCAGAATCCCAGAGGGACTGTATTAATCCAAACTCAAAAACATCTCCATTCTCCTTATTATATAAAACAGGGGTAAAAATAGACTGACACTGTGAGCCTCTCCGCACTCTGTTGGCAGAAATCAGTTTGAAGTGATGCACATAAAAAGGCTAATTGCGTCATGGGAGCTGAAGAGCCACCCACACTACCGCAAAGCCAGATTGTTTTTACGATAAATGGCCTTAATGGCTCCAGTGCTTTCACTTGTTCCTAAGCCACTCTTAGCCATATTTTATGCTTCTGGGTCTTCGGCTCAGAATGAGCTCAGGGGTTAAAAATAGAGGGCAGGACGCACAGTGAATCTTGAGGTGTGATGTGGGTTTTGGGGAGCGAGCCTCCTTGGGCAGCTGAGAGGCTGTGTTTAAATAGAACTGAAGAGGGCTTCAGTCTGGGAAGAGGTCATTAACACCTGAAGCCCCTAGCCTTAGTGTCCTCCTCATTGTGCCAGTACTGCCTCTCCTCTGGGCTCTGTGACGTCAGAGCTCTTTATTGAATGGAGGCCTAGATTACAGACCGCTCATTCAAAACAGAAAATAGGCAACTACAGTGGCCTTTTTAAACCAGACCTGAAGTGGGGGAATTAAATTGGGATGAATCGTGCTTTTTGTGTAGCTAAGATGGTAATAGAAAAAGACTGTAAGGTACTTGGAAGACACTGGATTGGAAACAGAACATGGTGATCTGTACTAGAGCTAACAAAGACATTTAGAGTACAGTAATACGGAATTGTGGTGCACACGTATTGATATTCACATTGCTGGTAGGAGTGAGGAGTCGAAGGCATGGCACCTTGTCAGCCAAGTTGGATCTTAATTGGCCGTTGCTACTGACAACCAGATCACAAAACAGTGCTGCACAGCCATGTTTGGCACAACAGATTGGTCAGGTCTTGGTGCCAACTCGATAATAGTTTTGGCTGTAGTGGAGCAGCCGCAGATCATTGGGTCTGCTTGGTAAAGGATATAGGGAGATAAGTTTCTCCAGGAGGTCACTAGAGGACATGAGGAGTCGGTGCATGGTCAGGGTGATGTTCATCAGGTGGCTGCTCCCACACACACAACCCTCCGCGTCTGGAAGAGAGCACACAACACATGGAGCACATTAACAGACATGCTGTTGCCTATCACAATGCCAATAATGTACTATAGATGGTTGAGATTTCATATGGACAAGAAAATAATTTCTGCATATCAATGTCCAATGCTACTGTAGCTCTCTGATAACCAAATCTAGCAGTCATGTCCTGCTACAGAATAAATGTCAACAACACAAGGGGATTTAGCCATTCAAACTTCCTGATTCCATTCAGTCACAAGTCTGCAGTCATGCAATAACAGAAACAAATGATAGAAATCAACCTCAAAAGAGCATACAAAACAGTTTCTAAATGTGTGCTAGGCAACCATGAACACAATAATGTGCCAGGTATGTGTCAACTGCAAATCTCTAAGTGTATACACCACCTCTGAATGTCTCTGCTTTTCCTGTGGTGGTATTGTGACTTTTCTGTGGTCTACTTTTCTCTGTCGTATCTCACTTCCTGTCTTTGTGACCGCCTCCCTATATCTCTGCCAACACTTATGACATCACAGGAACCTTCAGCCACGATCTCTGTCATCTACTCAAACAGCTTTGTCCCTAGAGGCACTGGAGATAAAAAGGATATGACGTTGTGGAAAAGATCTCAAGGAATACATTGTTAGCTGTATCCACACAGTAGCAATTGTAGATTCCATTTCTAACTACATTAGCCTTTCTTTTACAAATTATCTGACTTGAGAAAAGCAGATATTTTGTTGGTCCTCTGTAACATGTTGTTTATGAGTAAGTGGTTCACTATCATGTTTGTCTATTGGGTAGCAATGAGCAACCTCTTTGCTAGGCTTCTGATCTCTTCCATTCCAGGTAAACAATCTGCCAGTGATTTTCTGGAAATCGTGGCTAAGAGAGCACCTTGACGAATCCATGAAAATGGTGTTTAACTTTTGAACCTAAGCAGCTGGCATTGTCTTGATGCCACATAAGAACGGCAGTTTCCATGGGTCCCCACATATCCCATATCTCCTTGAAATACCTCAGACACCATGGCAACATTGTTATCTATCTCACTGGGCCACTTCAGCAGGCAGCTAATCCTGCCCTCGTATCCTGCACCACTGGTACAGGAGTGTTCTATTTACCCATCCCAACCAGGGCTACAACCCCCCAGCAATGACACACAGACATAACCTTACTGTATGAAAAACTGTCATGCATGAAAATAATATACATATACATGATTAGACTGTGATCTGAGGGAGACTGTTGTAATAGGTTTTAAGCTTTATACTGTTACTGTATGTTAAAGGACTGTGATGCAAAACAATTCAACTCTATCCTTTCTCTACTTCAACAAACTGAATGGTGTTTTTATTGCTGCAATCATGTAAGCAAGTCATGCTCTAAAATAACAAGGAAGCTCTTTTGATTCACTACCAGGTAAACAATTACTTCATCATTTTACAACACCTCCCTACCAACCCAGGCGGGGCTAATTGCTGAGGAAATCCCCTCCGTCTTACTCACTGTGGAAAGTTAGGAAAGCAGCAGCAGGTTGCACTGGGATAGGACAAGGGATGTGATGACAAACACAGCAAAAGGCAGGGAGTGTTGCCCTACTTTGAGGGGTTTTATTATCGTAGGCATTCATCAGCAAAGCCAAGGTGTAAGGAGTCTTTCCTTGTTTTGACAGAGAGGTAAAGTAACTGGGCTAACGGGGATGGATGATCCTTTTGTTTTGCCTCAGTCAGCCCAATGCTCATCTCTACTGTACACATGAAAGAATCGGTAAGGAACAGTCTAAGAGGCCCCAGCGATTTATATTTAATTATTAGTTGCACACTCTCCACTACATGTGCCTTATAATGTTGGCTCAACATGCTGTAGGCCTACAGTACATGTAGAACAATAGAGTACAGGAAATTGATTTAATATCCACAAACAGCCATGATGCTCTGTAAGTGTTTGAACATATGTTGACCGCCATAGGCACATAAAGGTTTTTCACATTAGTGTCTACAGTACATCCGAGCCTGCAGTGGATACTCTGACTCTGCAGTGGATATCTCTTTGTGATATTCACAGGTTGTGTGCCTGCATCATATATGGTTTACATGGGAAATGCATTTAATTCCAAAATGGCTTCCACGATTGAAGCCTTCAAATCTCTGCACTGCTTTTTGCTGTCCATTAACATTATGATTGTGTAGAGACTTCAGGCACTGTGGGTGTGTGGAACTGTGGAGCATGGACTTGTGGAGGATGGACGTGAATGATGATGTCAAACATTATTGATCCACACCCCTTGGTGCTCTGCATTTCAAAGAGTGGTCAGCATCTGAGAAGGGCCTTTTGGGTAGCTGACCTTTGGGCTAGCAGCAGCCAGGCAATCCTTCAAATAGCGCTTACGTGTGCTCTCACATTTGAAAAGGTGCCGAAGCCCCAGGAGCCCCAGGAGCTGGGGAGTCAGCCTCTGATGTGAGACAGCAGCCGCTGGGAGTGCTTAGCCCTGTTAGACCTCTCTGTACTAAGTATCTCCATTTTGTTCCCTCATATTAACCTGGATTCAAAACACCTGCCTGTTTATCTCCATACTGTAGATTACATTTCCTTGAAAGGATCTGAATTTCTCTCAATGACCTGTGAAGTCTGATTTGGAAATTAAATTACAATTTCAGTCATTCAACAAATATTTTTAGTAAACCTAAAAAGACATTTTAAATGGAACTCTAGAAGAGAGCTAAGTCTTGCACCCACTTGATTAACTTGGCTGATATTTTTTTTATAAATCCTAAATGAACAGCCAGCCATTATTCTGCTATTCTTTTCCTTGACAGATAACTGTAAGTAAGGGCTGTCACTCTCTGTATTCAGTCCACTGTACCACCTCCTCATCACTCTCTCTTCACTCCATTTGTGTCTCCAAGCAACGGCAATCAGAATGCTTGCCTCTTCAAATACATAATCACGATAACTTTGAGAGCACTCCAGACAACTTAGTAGGGCACATTATTCTCATTTAACAGGGTTCTTGACAGGGTTTTTGACAGCTTCCATATTGCAGCCAATATACAGAATATATAAATACATGTAATTGGACAAAGTCAATGTATTACTAATGTGATATGCTTAAATCACATTCCACGTCTACTGAATCAATACTTCACAGTTGGTGAATGATTTTGTTATACTGTATCATATTCAGTGCAGGCATAGTTGCAGTAGATCCACATACAATTATATAGTCTTAGAGATATGGAATAGTCTATTGCCCTGGGCAAGTGACCTGAGCAGTCGTGCAAGTGACCTGAGCAGTTGTGCAAGTGACCTGAGCAGTCGCGCAAGTTGAGCCTGCTCTGAGGTTGCCCCATTGGGCAGGTGATTTGTTTTTACTGATAACAACCAAATTGCAAAGAATTCCAGTAGTCTTGTCTTTCTGGTTCCTCCCCATGTGTGTAGGTGAAAATAGATAACATTTTTGGGAAAGTGATCATAATCTTCAGGCAACCAAAAAATACTCCTGATGGACAAGTGTCTTTCAGACCTTAATGTCAGATGAACACTACAGATGGAAAGCAGCTATTAGCTAAATCTGGTGCCACGTATCATATCTCAGTGCTCTGAGACTTATGTTTTGTGGTGCATTGTACCTGCCAAATAATCTTGATAAATAAAAATAAATCCCTGTCTCATCATCTGAAATGCAAAGACTGACAACCATAGAGGTTAGACAACAAATAGAGGCTAGTTCATATAAAGGGAAAGGTCTTAAAAAATAAAATAAAAATCAGTTATTTAGCCTTTGTTCTTATCCAGAGCGACTTACAGTTAGTGAGTGCATAAATTATTATTATTATTATTATTAATTTTTTCATACTGGCCCCCCGTGGGAATCGAACACACAACCCTGGCGTTGAAAACGCCATGCTCTACCAACTGAGCTACATCCCTGTCAGCCATTCCCTCCCTTACCCTGGACAACGCTGGGCCAATTGTGCGCTGCCCCATGGGTCTCCCGGTCGCGGGCGGCAAAGACAGAGCCTAGATTCGAACCAGGATCTCTAGTGGCACAGCTAGCACTGCGATGCAGTGGCTTAGAGCACTGCGCCACTCGGTCTGTTTGTGTCAACCTAGCCCTATAGGCTAATTAGAGATACCTTGTAAATGGTAACAGTTTCATGGAGACAGGGTCTTTTAACATCAAACAGCTAGAGGCCGAGAAAAACAGGTGCTTCCAGGAAACATTCACAGTACTGATTTCAAATAAACTGAGGTTCAGCGTTCAGCACCACTTAAAAAGGAAAATAAAGTGGATGCTCTAACCTGACAAGCAGAACTAATGACAATGATCCTGACCTGCACAACCATTTTGTACTGCTCAACAACAGACTCAAATATTATATGCTGCTCATTTTCATGCAACAAAAAAACGATACTTTTTTCAAACAAAAAAGGGAAATATGTGGTTGTAACACTCAATTCAAGTCCTTCAGTATTATGAAGTCATATGGAGTCAGTCTTATCATTCAGTTACCAATAGTATTACTGGCAGAAACACAAGAGCAGCCCAGAGCACAGCGACTCACCGAAGGACTGGATACAGGCCTGGATCAGCTCTTCCCAGCTGGCCCCTTTGGCATAGTGTCCCAGAGACATCATGACCTTGCCCTGGGTCATCTGGGCCAGATTGGGCCTGTTGAACCGTTGAGGGCGAGCAGGCACAGGCGGACAGACCTTAGAGAGAGAGAGCCGTCTGGAGGGGCAGTGGAGGAGAGAGGGCATGAGGTGGAGGGAGGTGTAGAGAGCACAGCTGTGTGTGTGTGTGTGTGTGTGTGTGTGTGTGTGTGTGTGTGTGTGTGGACGTGTTTACCTATTCTTGTGGGGACTTCTGGTAAACTAACAAAAAATTTACCAACTGGGGACATTTTGTTGGTCCCCACAAGGTCAAATGCTATTTCTAGGGGGTTAAGGTTAGAATTAGTGTTAGGGTTAGAATTAGAATTAGGTTTAGGGTTAGGAGCTTGGGTAAGTTTTAGGGTTAGGGTTAGAGCTAGGGTTAGGTTTAGGGTTAGGGTTAAGATTAGGTTTTTGGGTTAAGGTTAGGGTTAGGGGTTAGGGAAAATAAGACTTTGAATGTCCCCACAAGGTTAGCTGTACAAGACTGTGTGTGTGTGTGGTCATTTAAAGCATGCAGTGCATACAATATTGAAGTAGACAACACAATGAAAATGCTACATGTTAATCCTAAAGTAATCACACAGGCAAATATAATATAGGTGTAAGTGTATAAAAAATGTTGCAATTAACACAACACTTTTCAGATTACTACAATACTAAAAAGTGTTTCATACCTGGTATCTTAGAGTTAAGGTAGCTTTGCTATTTTTCATTGTTCTCATTTCCTTCCTTTTGGGGAAATCATTGTTGATTGCCGACTTCTATTATAGGAATCACTAAATAAACAGTTGGCTGATAAACAGAGAGGATGCCATGCATGCCATTTGTTCTATACACTTCCCAAACTATAGGCTAACTATGGAATGAAATTCGAAAGAGAGAAGACATAGGCTATAGAGAAGCTATTTTGAGAGTGAAAAAGTTGTGCGTCCTGGTCGATGCTTTTATAAATCGCAGGGCACGGAATTGTTGCACTCATAAAGTTATTGTATGACTAAGAACCACCAAAAGTTTCTGATTTACATTCTAAATCAACAAGATCATAATGTTTATTCGGTGTCAATAAAGGTTTTATAATTGCGTATGTTTAAAATTGACAAGACGATATTTGCTGTAGGCTATTTCAACTGTCTGCGTAACGCGCTTCATAAACATCTTCAGTTCATTCACAAATACAGGAGTTCGTTATAAAATAACTTACGGATGTTCTTTTTCCTTTCCATTCGATCCCACATTTTCATTTTGTCCATTTTCTTTGGATTGGCACCCCATAGCGAGATACTGGGCAACAAGTGGTTGAACGAGACTATCCATCTGTGTCCGTTTCGATGAGAGCATTTTCATTGCGTGCTTGGTTCAGTGTGCGGCAGTGCGCCGGTGGGGAGCTCACCATTGTTTTGACTTGTCAATGAGGATGGCACAAATTAAGATGCATCGTGCTGTGTCTGTGTGGGCGTAAACGCACTTGAACAAAAGTTGTTTTGGTGATGGGCCCAATGCCACTCACTGCTCAGTAATTTATGCGCAAGAGCTCAAATGAGTAGAATGAGCAGGCCGCCTAACCCATTTCTTTATGAATCTATTGCCATTGTTTAGTGATTTGTCGTCATTAAAGCATGAGTCACGATTAAATTGCTTTTACAGTAAGTGTATGTCCAATTAGATATGAGATAACTGTTCTTACATTGATTATTTGGAATGTTAAATATATTTTATCACAATTAAGTTAAGTGTGCAACTAAATGGATTCCAGCAATAGGTTTGTGTCAGTTTGTTAATCAGAGTTGGCAGGTTTATTCACAGTATCCCTATCCTTTATGCCCATCACCCCATGACTAGTAGTTTCAGGCTCCCTGGAATTAGCCATCACAGCTTCATATATTGCCTGCAGGACAGGAAAGGTGGGGCCTTCCTTTTAGTCATAGCTTTCTACTAGACATTGGACCCCTATGAGGATGTTTCTGTAAGCCTGTTGAAATACCCTAAGCGCTGTGTTGGGACAAATCACACATGTCCAGACAGGGAGATAGATAAACGGTATGATAGAAATGTTTCCATGGAGTAGACAACATGTCACTCACTCTCTGATTTAAAGGGATAGTTTACCCAAATTACACATTGGTTTCCTTACCCTGTAAGCAGTCTATGGACAAGGTATCCCACTGGGCACAGACATAATTTCAATGTCTAGTTTTGATTTACATTTGGTTGAGATGTCAACTAACGTGAATTCAACATGAAATCAACAGAAAATGTCACCATGTCATTGGATTTTACTTAAAAGTTGGGTTAAAAAAATACAAAATTCCCTTACATTGATGACTTTTTGCTAATCCAATCAGGTTTCCACATTGAATAAACATCATCACATTGATTGTTTTTGTTGAAATGACGTGGAAACAATGTTGATTTAACCTGTCCATAGACTGCTTACAGGGTAAGGAACCAAAGTGTCATTTTGTAATTTAGGTGAACTACACGTTTAAATACATACAGTCAGGTCCATTCATAATTATCGGCACCCTTAATAAAGATAAGCCAAAAAAACGTTTCAAATCAATTACACAAATACTGAGCTATATTGTATGAAAAAAAATGTGACATTACATTATTTTATACTAATACAATTGCTCAGAGAAAGAGATTTTGTTTAACAAGTAAAACATTTTGGCACCACTGTTTTCAATACTCTAGCACCCTCCCCTTGCGAGTATACAGTGGGGAAAAAAAGTATTTAGTCAGCCACCAATTGTGCAAGTTCTCCCACTAAAAAGATAAGAGAGGCCTGTAATTTTCATCATAGGTACACGTCAACTATGACAGACAAAATGAGAAAAAATAATCCAGAAAATCACATTGTAGGATTTTTAATGCATCTATTTGCAAATTATGGTGGAAAATAAGTATTTGGTCAATAACAAAAGTTTCTCAATACTTTGTGAATATACAGTGGGGGAAAAAAAGTATTTAGTCAGCCACCAATTGTGCAAGTTCTCCCACTTAAAAAGATGAGAGAGGCCTGTAATTTTCATCATAGGTACACGTAATTTTCTATGGGGTTGAGATCTGGAGACTGGCTAGGCCACTCCAGGACCTTGAAATGCTTCTTACGAAGCCACTCCTTCGTTGCCCGGGCGGTGTGTTTGGGATCATTGTCATGCTGAAAGACCCAGCCACGTTTCATCTTCAATGCCCTTGCTGATGGAAAGAGGTTTTCACTCAAAATCTCACGATACATGGCCCCATTCATTCTTTCCTTTACACGGATCAGTCGTCCTGGTCCCTTTGCAGAAAAACAGCCCCAAAGCATGATGTTTCCACCCCCATGCTTCACAGTAGGTATGGTGTTCTTTGGATGCAACTTAGCATTCTTTGTCCTCCAAACACGACGAGTTGAGTTTTTACCAAAGAGTTCTATTTTGGTTTCATCTGACCATATGACATTCTCCCAATCCTCTTCTGGATCATCCATCATGCATAGCAAACTTCAGACGGGCCTGGACGGACTGATGGTAGCTTTGTTTACTTTGTCCAGCTATACGCAGCATTCACTAGTCCCCCCGTGTGGTTCTGGGATTTGGTCACACGTTTTTGATCATTTAGACCCACTACGGTGGGATCTTGCGTGGAGCCCCAGATCGATGAGATATCAGTGGTCTTGTATGTCTTACCAATTTCCCAATTGCTCCGACAGTTCATTTCTTCAACCAAGCTGCTTACCTATTGCGATTCACTTCCACCTGTGTGCAGGTCTAACATTTAGTTTGATTTTGTCCGTTTACAGCTTTTGGTCTTGGCCATAGGAGTTTGGAATGTGACTGTTTGGGATTGGACAGTGTCTTTATACTGAAACAAGTTCCAAACAGTGCCATTAATACAGGTAACGAGTGGAGGACAGATGAGCCTCTTAAAGAAGAAGTTACAGGTCTGTGAGAGCCAGAAATCTTGCTTGTTTGTAGGTGACCAAATACTTATTTTCCACCATAATTTGCAATAAATTCATTAAAAAATCCTACAATGTGATTTTCTGGAGAAAAAAAATCTCAATTCGTCTGTCATAGTTGACGTGTACCTATGATGAAAATTACAGGCCTCTCTCATCTTTTTAAGTGGGAGAACTTGCACAATTGGTGGCTGACTAAATACTAATAAAGCCATTTTATAAAATGCTTTATGAGATTGGAGAACACTTTGGGAGGGATCTTAGACCATTCCTCCATACAGAATAAAAGATCCACCACCATATTTTACAGTAGGTATGAGGTACTTTTCTGCATATGTTTCTGTTTTTCAAAGCCAAACCCACCACTGGTGTGCGTGGCCAGAGAGCTCGATTGAAAATGTGTGGCTTGAATTGAAAAGGGCAGTCCATAAAAGCAAACCAAGGATATCAAGGATCTTGAAAGATTCAGTGTGGAGGAATGGTCTAAGATCCCTCCTAACGTGTTATCCAATCTCATAAAACATTTTAGAAAAAGGCTCAGTGTCGTTATCCTTGCAAGGGGAGGGAGCTAGAGTATTTTTCAGATTTGTTTTTATTACTTGTTAAACAAAATCTCTTTCTCTGAGCAATTGTTTTAGTATAAAATAAAATAATTTCCCAATTTCTTTTAGCATACAATATAGGTCAGTATTTCTATTTTATTCAGTCTTCTGCTCATCTTTATCAAGGGTGCCAAAAATTATGGACCTGACTGTATATTACACAGTTCTGTGCCTATTGCAGTTACAGCTGCTCAGACCTGGGTTCAAATACTATTTAGGGTATTTCAATTACTTTCAAAGACATTGGGAAGTAAGTGGATATCTTTTTTTTAAAGCACAATTAGTTAGAAATACACTTAGAAACCATTGGCATGTTTTGGAAAATACTCAATCCTCCCATGCATTTGAACCCAGGTCTATTTGGTATTTGAAATAATGTATTAAATACTTTCAAATACTTCCAATAGAAGTAGTTGATTCAGGCCACATTATTAGAAAATACTCAAATACACAGAAAACAAATATTTAAATAACAAATAATCAAATACACATGTATTTGAACCCAGGTCTGCAGCTACTATAGAACTAACTGCTAAGAGGTTAGTTAGGATCTATGCTTGTGTTATATAGTTATCTAATAAGTTGTTTATTTTTATCTTCATGGAGACATTGATTGAGCAGGTTCTGGAGAAGCTGTCAAACATGACACAACCCAGTCCTGATGTTGACACAAGCACTAGTAAAAGTATTGTGTGGTTATAGACATTAAAAAAAACAGAAACTCCTGAAACTCAGAAACTCTTGTTATCTGACTGCACTCCCCTGTCCTACTCCCCTCACTCAGATACTTATTTTCCCCTTCTACCCTTAACTGAGTGATAAGGGTTCTACCTGATATGGATGGAAATACTATACTTCCCTTTCTGCCTAAGGCAAGATGGACTAACGGTTGATATCTAGCATAATTGCTAACACTGCTGCTTGCAGTTCCTTGAAATCACTTATTTTTAATGACAGAACATCATTCAACCATATGCTCTCTGACTTTTGTCAACGGATTTGATTAACTGTTTACTGGTCCTCTGTAGCTCAGCTGGTAGAGCATGGCGCTTGTAACGCCAAGGTAGTGGGTTCGATCCCCGGGACCACCCATACACAAAAATGTATGCACGCATGACTGTAAGTCGCTTTGGATAAAAGCGTCTGCTAAATGGCATATTATTATTATTACTTTTGTTTTTTTATTTTGTGCATACACAAAAAATGTATGCACGCATGACTGTAAGTCGCTTTGGATAAAAGCGTCTGCTAAATGGCATATTATTATTATTATTATTTTACTTTTCTCACAGGGCTAGTCTCTAATTGAGTGATTGAACTAAGGCCCCAAATGCCTCAATACTGCCCCCATGTGGTTGAAGTCAACATTCACTTAATTATTTACCAGGTCAGACAAACATTACATAGCAGAAACTTCCTAGGAAAATTTATGAAAGTTCAATAACCTACTATTATTTTTGCTTTGAGGTAGCATGCTTGTCATACATTCTAAATAGTACTGAGTATATTCCATCTATAAAATTAATCTTTAACATATCAGCACTCAGCAGATAGCTTAATCAAACCTAAGTGCATGTTCTCAACATCTGCTGTCTTCTCCAGATCATCAAGATTCAAGAAACACACAAAACACCCATAAGTATGTGATACTTTCCTATCTTCTGAGTTAACTGTTCTATTTTATGTACTCTCCAAATGTGAGGTGGTCTTCACACTGAATGGTTATGAAAGTGAATATCTCCTTACAGCTACAATAATTTCCACTGTGCAGTCTGTAACACCACACCCCATAATGCTTTTGTGATGTTTGAAGTAGATTCGATTTGACTGTGCTTTAAAGAGATTCTTTGGTACTTTTGTATACTTT